AATGGATTTTAAGCTGTAAAAAGACGTTTCGATTTGGGATTAAGCATTGGTTCTGCAAAAACTTTAGCATTGAAGAATGTGCTGTTTGGACCGTTTTGAATTCGTTATATTAATGCGACTTGTGGATTTTTTGAGTTATAAACAATAATTTTCATTTTTGAGAAGGGTTGAACCCCGTCCCGCCTTTAGAGCATTGTGCATGAGGTAAATCACGAGATGTGTCTCAGGAGGCAAGAGTACAAGAGCTGTCATACTGATGCCACAAAGAGTCCAATTCCATACCTTGTAAGAGGCAGGAATCGAACCCACACTGCGACTATCAGCTTAACTGAAACTACCTCACTCCTGTCATTTGCACCACTAAGTTATGTCCTGGGGGAAAGAGTGTTGAGGAAGAAGCATTAAATGATTTGAGATGTGAAATTATACGATTTTTTCAACTACGTATGTAAGATATATACGGGACAGGGTGCGACTAAACAAGATAGATAATAGACAAAAGAAATTCACATATTGTGTGACTTCTCGAAATCTTGGCGAGTCTAATATGGTAGAAGTGATATTACACGAACTACTAAATGACATAGTCGAGAATAATGGATAGATGCTCATCATTAACACGGCCGATTGAATAGCATTATTCTAATGAGTAAAATTTTCGTTTCTTTTTCTTCGTTAGTCTTCTCTAGTAACAAACGGACTAATACTCCAAGCACGTCGTATTAGATAAGCTAGCAAACCCTTTTTTTTTTTTTTTGCAAGAAGTTAAACTTATTTCTTGTTATTATGTTAGGATACAAAATAATTCTAGTCCATCTCACTTTTGTGCTAACGACGGCAATTTTATCTATTTTTTTTATTATTTATGTTACACCAAAAAAAATNAAAAAAATACAAGATGAAGTTGATAGAGAGCCTAGTGTCCCAATAATTCACCATGAAATAAAACCCTAATTTTCTCCCTTACTTTTTGAGCATCACATAAATTCAATTTTCTTTTATTAAAAAAAAATTGAATTCTATTATCCCTTTATTGATGGGACCAATATATATGAAATACACAAATATTGTCTTCAAATCGAATTCCAATTATCCTATTTTGGCCCACATTTTTGGAATAGACTATTCCTAATTCATACCCTTCCAAATGCGAATAAACACAAGTCATTCATTTTGTTTCTCCATTCTTTTTGTTGAAAATTGGAAGGATTGACGAATTTATAGTTAACGCGTCCATGTTGGGTTTAGCTACTAAATCCCAACAATGATATGATCGTTGTCAATTCATCGACCTAAATATTACATTAATTTATCATAGAGTTTGCATATGACTATTTTCCCTTCGATGTTCTATATTTCTATGTATATATACGTGTGCGTAAGTTCATATTGAAAATGGCATGGGGTTTCATGTTTGCTTAATCGCTAATAATTTCATATATAATTTTTTTTTCTAGCTCGACTCTGGGTGAGAATGATGGAGCGAAGAAATCATTTTGCGAAGAAATATCTTCATCACTACGAATGTATAAAGTATGTACAAGGTTAATACTGTTAATGTGAGTACTGCCGTATACCAAATTTAAAAGATTGTCGACCTTTCATTTAGTTAATAAACATACTTAAAAGAAAAAAGAAGTTAATAAATTAATTCGTTGATTATAAAGCACCAGTAGAAAAACACTATATTTAAGCAGAAGTAGCTGCCTTGTAATTATATGACGATGTACCGTTTCACCACTCGCACAAGCTCAGTGCTAGTCGTGACATCGATATGTATGAATACACGTATGGCTGTGAATGGAAAGCTTTAATGACTTGAATTGATGGTGTATCCATAGTCCATTATTTTCAAAGAAGTAGCCCTACAAAATTAAATGAGTTGCGGCCATATGTTGGACAAATGTATAGACATTGTCCAACATTCAGCTTCTTCAAAGGCAGACAAGCATGTCCTAAATACCCCAAATTTGTCAAGTCACCTAACTCAATACATAAGTCAATCCATTTATGCTAACTATGGTGCCTTTTAGTTCCCATTATGCTCCCATATTATAATAGTATCTTGCATATTGAGACACCAATTTTAATTAATGGAATTGACACATAAGTGCCACAAATCAATGGATTGCCCTCACATTACAAAAAGTTGAATGAAATCATCGTTATAAGAAGTTATTCGATTAACGATATTTTTGGGTTGGAATATAACATTAATATTGAGGTTTTGTTGCTCGAATAACGAGTAAAAGGGATATCAATGTTTAACTTAATTGGAAGAGTTATACGTACTATGAAAGTTATTTATTTTTATGGTAGAATCAATCAAGGGCCGAAAGATTTGAAGTTTAACAAACCTAATTTTTATGAATTCTGCATGAAGAAGTGATTAAAATATTTTTGAGAGCGAGAGCCTTAAAAACACTCGACCACGAAACGGTCAATATCATATTCAACACAAGGTTTCAACGAAGGGGACACTCTCCAAACATTTTCTTTAGTTTTGTGCTTTTGTATAATTTTTCTTTTTGTCTTAATTTGAGGAATTTATTCATATCCATCTGGCAAAGATTAGACAGCAAAGCATGATCATGATGTGATCATCATCCCACGAAAACTATGGATTGGAGTCTGTTGATTAAATAAATAACATTCTTATTTCTTCCCATAATTTTTTTTTTGTCCTAACTTAGCGCTCGTTTATCTCCCATTAAAACGAGTCTTTGGAGGAAATGAGTTTTTGATTTGTAATTTTTTTTGGAGAATGTGTGGTTAAAAAATAAAAAAAAGTTTAAAATATTTTATTGTGTGAACTGTGAATGTGTGGTTGAAAATGAATTTGAGAAGAAAAAAAAGAGTTTTGATTTAATGGGAGACAAACATCGGCTTAATGTCCCTTTATTTTCAATGGTCAATTCGATGGAAAAAGTCAGAAACTTTTAAGAAGCAGTTGATTTTGACCAATTCCTAATGCGTGGAACGAAATGCTGATTGAAACCTATGGAAGTTGAGAACCATTGAATACTACTAACCTCCTTGCGAGGTAGCGAATGTTGGACCATGCACCCATTTTGTCTCCATTCATCCCCTGGTCCATGATGTATCGTGTCCATGTAAAGGTTTTGGGCCTATTATAGGTGTTTAGCCCATTAGTCATTTCTCTATCTAGAAATGAAATTGACTAAGTACTCTAAGCCCATATCCAAATAACACTAACGGCTAACCTCCTAGAAATTTCCTTTTTGAAAAATGGGTGTTCACTTTGAATTGAACCACTAATTTGTGGCCCAAATAAACTTTAAACAACACGGCCCAAACGTATCCGAGTACGGGCTTTGCAAGATGGACAATCACCCGTTTATTGGGGTTGGCGCACCCTATCCTGCGGACATCCCATATTCCACCATCCCTAAGTACCCAAGCTTCAACTGTTCCACACCCGAAGTTTAGGATCTGTACTCTTTATCATTTTCAAGTCTTTTCTGTTTTCGACTTTCCAAAAACAGTGAAAATACGTTTTCCTTCCTATTTTCGAAAACGCGTTTTTGAAAACAAGTTAAAAATTTACAAAGAAAATCCAAAACGACAAAACAAATTTGTCATTTTGGGTGTTTTCAAAATGTCAAAAAGAACACATTTTCAACAATTTCAAAATGGACACTCAAAACACAAAACCCAAAATAAATTTAAAACTCAAAATACAAAATCGAAACACAAAGAGAACATCCCCTTAACATCTAAGCCTATTTTGTCAATGAAACTACTGGACAAACTATCTAGTTTTATTAATACTGTTAATAATATTGTAGGGTAAATTCCTTTAGAGGTTCTTTACTTTTCTTGAGAGTTATAGTAATGTCCTCGACTTTTCATTTGTGTACCCATATCCAAGACTTTTTAACACCGTATGAGCGGTATATCTACTGACAAAAATGTCTATTTAAACGTTATATATCTATACGACACGACACGCATGTGATGTGAAGCCAAAGAGGTAAAATTATACAAAAATAAAGATTATTATAGTGTAAATAAATTTCCAACACAGTTAATTCCTCCATGTTATAATTATAGTGAAGGTCATTAACCATTGATCATTTTTCGCATTGTGTATCCATTTTTTCTTTGTATTTTAATGTCAATTTTATTTTAATTATTATATCTTGTTTTTGACGACAGTCAAAAATTTTGTTAGTACGAAGCAAAAACATATTTGGACAAAATTCATTATGTTAAAAATTTGAAATTTCCTAAACAAAATAAAAGAGGCAGTTTGAAATGCACTGTTCATACCAGATGTCGTAAAAATGGATCGTCAACCATAAAGACGCCGTATTTCCCAATTATATTTTAATCTTCTTGCTTTCCCCTTTGTCGGCATCNCTTCTTCTTGCTTTCCCCTTTCATTTTACTCGAAGCACTCTTTGCAAATCTACAACCTACCTGTACGACATTTCCTACTTTGTCAGCTTCAGAAACCTGTGTTTCACTTCTGCAATCGTAAAAATTGTTGCTTAGCCTGTGTTTTACTGTCTCAAAAGCAGGAGTGTCAAAACAACTCTGAAGATTTGTTTATTTTCTTCCTTTCAGTTTGGGGGTTGGGTGTACGATATTTTCAGTGTTATTTTTTTTTCATATTCCCTCATAAACTATTGTTGATAGACTTCAAATTAAGCCAAAGAAAATGAAATAGAGAAGTGTTTCTATAAGATTGTTGGTAATTCTCGATTAGGGTTGTGGGAAATTTGAATCGGTGATGAAGGGGTTTGAATTTTTATGAGATTGAAAACTTTTTAGGGCTAAAAAATTCATCACTGGAAGATTTCCTCAGGTTTTGATTGATTCAGCTTTTGGTTTTGAATCGACTTTAAGGACTGTATCTGTTTCACTTTTCATTCAAATTATCTCTGCAAGTTTTCTTATCTAATTCACAAATTTCATTATCAATCTTCTAATTTCTAAGAAAGCAGGTAAGTTTTATGAATAAAGAGAAATAGCTTATGTATTTCCCGAGAGAGGCACGCTCATGCCTCCGCCATCGTGCTCGTAGCACGTCCACAAAGGCACCAGCGTACCTCTGTGCACAGAGGTATGCTGCGCACGGAGGCACCAGCATGCCTCCATGCTGGTGCCGTCCCAGCCTACACAGAGGGACGCTGCTAAGGCAATGACAGCTTGCCTCCATGCACGAGAACTGAGGCAAGTCGTGCCTTCGTCCGAGTGCACGGAGGCAAGCTGCTAAGGCAGCGACAGCGTGCCTCCATGCACGTGGACGGAGGCACATCGAGCCATCGTCTGCTTGCACAGAGGCCTCCGTGCATGAGAACAGAGGCACATCGTGTCTCCGTCCGCGTGCATGGAGGCACGGAGGAGCAGCGGTGTGCCTCCGTGCATGAGAACGGAGGCACACTACACACGGTGTGCCTCCTTGCACGAGAACAGAGGTCCATGATAGAGCTTTTCTTATGACTTATCGTCTTGTTGTAACGAAGAATTCTTCCATTTACATTAATAATATAAAGAGGACGTTACTTGCTGTAGCAGTAGAGTGTGGAATCTACGGATAGTCATGCTTATGGACTTCCTTTTATCAAGCTGAAAATGTTTATATTGACTTATTCATGCAATCAAATGAGTTTAACTCAATGGCTTTAGTTGCTTCAATGTATTTAAGCTCATCAGGATTTATGTTCATGAATGTTTATGCATGTTTACAGATCCAGAAATTTGCATTCCGATTTTTGAGCAGCTTTGAAGCTGAAAACTTCATGAATGTTTTAAAGGTGTGCCTATTAGTATCTATAAATTCATTGTTGTTCAGTTATTTCCATTGCATCACATAAATATATTACATTTTCTATATGATATTCTATCTGTTTTACTCAGGAAATCTTGGATAGTGCAAGACTTCAAGGGCTTCCATGCGACTCCGACCTATCTTATCAAGCTGAGTCTGTATGTTCAATTGGACCTGCATACAGGTATGCAAAGTGATGTACTATTGCTTACTTTCATTCTGTTCCTTGAAACAAACTTATATGAACAGAGACTCAAAATCTTGTGACAAAAAGCGTGGAGGTTTGATCCTTCCTCAAACAACCGGGATATAAGAGTAATTTTAATGCACACAAAGGAAAAAAAACAATTAATTAGTGTTTGCTCAAAAAGAAATTTGACAATAATATCCAATGTCATTTGCAGGCCAGAGGAAAATTGGCAATATACAACTTCTGTAGATACGAGTATACATCTGATACCACCAATTGATGAGGCTCAAGATTCAAATCCATAGGAAAGTTCACAAAATGTTGCTGATGAAGAGATACTTCCAGCTTTTCCTCTCAGTTTCACATCATTATTGATGAACCATTGCCCTGCTGCCAATAAAGGTATAGGTTTTCTCTATTCTATCATTTGATATTGTATATTAACTTCGAGTCTTTGGGTAACTTACTTGATTAATCAAAATATCTACCTGCAGCAAAACCAGCAGAGACCGAGGAAGTTGATCTTAAAACCCAAATAATGGTACTTAAACCTCGTTTTATGCTACAGATTTTTTATACCTTTAGATCATGAAAAATCAGTACTTGGTTTGTCACTGGAAAAGTTTCTGGAATTAGACTGCTTATGAATGTCTATTTTATATTTAAAGAAAATGATAATATGTTACCAACTACAAAATAATTACTGAGTTAAATTTTTTCAGACCCGCTTAAGAGTGAGTGGGTTCTTATAGAATATGGTGCTAAGTGCTAACTTGTAGTTCCATGGATGAAATGTTTGATACTGCAATTACCTTGCTATCTTGAGCATTATTAACTAATTTCCCAGATGGTTTTGGTCTTATTCTACTTCTTAATATCTTTTTTAATATGACAAGGATGTGTGAAATTAATCAATAGATGGCTTTGAGCATAATTAATTAACTTTGCCAGATAGTTTTGGTATAATTATTTTCCCGACTCTGCCTAACTGCCTGTCTTTAAGATCTTCCTAATGTGACAGAGATGTGTGGAATTAATGTAATTGATGACCTTGATATATCCTCACTTAGATGTTACTGAATTGTTTGGTCAATAAATTGTTATCATACTTTACATTTTTCTCTCTTCATTTGTTGAACCACCCTATCTAACTGCAATAGTCTCTGTTACGTGCAAACATGATTCATTTTTTATCAAATGTTTGACAAATGCATGGTTTTCATAAATGGATGGAGGCATTTGCATGGAGAAATGCCTCAATCCTTGCCTCCATCTAATGCCTCCATCCGATGGAGGCAAGGATGGAGGTGCCTCCGCGCGCACACCCGTGTGCCTTGTGCACGGAGACACCCCCTTATACCTCCGTGCACAATTTTTTTTTTTTTTTTGGCTTTCGTGAGACACCTCCATCTAGGATGGAGACACCTGTACATTATAAATGATCTGGCCACGTAGATTGATTTTTAGTCATTGTTAATGTTAATTTAGCTGCTTCGAATTTTTTTTGTTGGCAATTCATTTTTTTTAATATTATAATACCATAAAGCCAGAAACAGCAGCATCGCTGTGGAATTGTGTCAGTTTGACTGCTTTGAAGGTAAAAAATATGATTTCTTGTTGGCGACCGTTTGGGCTGCTTCAACCTTTCTCACAATGATCCTATCATTTTTCTTTTCATAGACAACAAACAGATTTATAAAGATAACACCACTATTGATGAAAGTATCAGTCTAGCTCACCAACCGTTCAAAGGATTTCTCTACTGATGAACTTAGAGAAAAATCCGATGGACATCGCTTTTTAATTGCAGATGATACTCAGGACCCTAAAGAAGATGTACAACAATTAGGGCATGCAAAGTACTGCATCAGATAATACCACTTTGATACCATCAAGCTCACTGATATGCTCTCTAATTCCCCTGACATCTCAGTGGTAAAGACTTGTTATGAAATTGTCCCTTGCTAATACAAATTGCATCCATATAAAGTTCAATTGAATCTTTTCTGCATTTATATTATCATTAACATTGTAGTTCAATGGATGCATGTTATGATTGAAGGTAATTGGACATTGTCAGGTTAAAATTGATCAAACCAGAAACGATTCCTTATGTTTCCTTTTCCTGATATGATCAAATTCTATAACTTGCATTTTTAGTTTCTTAGAGAAAAACTAGGGTAGCCTGCAGTTAAATATTCCGAATAATGACATTACCTTACTTATACTCCAGACAAATATTTCGTCCAAAGTTTGTGTACAACGATTCAAAATCACTCAACGCTATTAAATAGTCAACTAAAGTAAAACACATGCATTACACGTGCATCCCACAAGTAAATATTTAAAAAATTGAAAATGTACTTAGTACAAAAATAGAAAAATTAGAGAATCTTGCAAAAACAAAATTATGACCGTTCAACTTGGCTTTTTTTTTTTTTTGGACAATTTGCTCATTCAATCAGATATCACGTGCACATCCCTATGGCTATTTAAAAAATAAAAAAATCTTTCTTTTCATCAAGAAAGGATACTATACGTAAACTTGAGCACGTAATTGTCGTACTTAAAAAAGATTGGGGAGTTTATATAGGAAATTACCTATATTGCATACGGACCTGATTGTCAATAGGGTTAATCCATTTGTATATAATGATTTGTACATAAAAATTTATTCCTTCTCACATAATGTGCGGGGTCGGCGTGTATTTAAAAATTTCGACAATGTGGTCTTCATCCACATTGTGAGTAGTATGTAAAAGATTCAGTACATGTAGCATGATCCTTGTCAATATATGCTCAAATATCGAACCATGAAGCCTATTTCATGCAGGCTTGGCTCCACTTGCTCAGTATACCACATTTGCTTTCCAGTTTTGCTATACATACATTCTAGTTAACATTTTACTTTACATTTTATCATGTGGCATATAATTTTATCATTGATTTTTCAAACAGTTGAAACAATCAATAATCATGATTTTGACATCTATTCAAAAGTCAACAAGTAATCCAATTTCTTCATTCCTGACCTAAAATCACATCCCAACTCTGCATATCTATGATTGTTTTTACACCTCATTTCACTTGATCGTACAAGCATATCTTCAACCTCATTACTAGTCTATCATTAGTATTTTGTTCAACAATCATGCTACAAGTACTATTTTTTTGACATTAAATTTGACAATGTGTCACTTGTTGAAGGTTGAATGACCAATTTTTAAATACCACATGCTTTCCTGCCCATTCGAATTTGAATTAATATGGATTGTCAAATTCCTACTTGAACTTACATGTAAAGTTTTTGATAGTTTTTCCCTCCAACTTTCAATGTCCAGATTCACATGCCACATTGATGGTTTTCGTCATGCTATGAAGGATCACACGACCCTATTTGATTAGGTCCACAACAAGCTTTAAGGATACAAAGTTCTGTCCATGCGTCATCCATACCAATATGAAGGGCCATCGATTCACATGAAAGCTTAAGCTGAAAATGGTCAACCAAGACTAGCAGCTGCATGCTAGGGTCAAACCCTTTAAACACACTATCCTTTTGTTATACGAACCATGCTTCCTACAAACACCACCAGATACACAATGCAGGGGGTAGGTGGGTTTTTTTGTCATTTTTTATTTGGGTAGGCCCACACATGTGAGCTGGTGTAAAACATTTGTAAAAAAAATTTTCTGTACATATGATTTTCCCTTGTTATAGTGTCTCCGTTTTATATTAGTTGACTTTTCTTATTTTCTTGTTTCAATTATATAGTCTTGTTTCTTTATTGAAAATACTGTGTTTAATTCATTTACTAATATACCCTTATTTCTTTCCTACTTTCAACAAAAAAATACTATTAGTTGTTGATAATTAAATAAGAGTAAATTATGAAAGTTTTTAACCAAAATTACATTTTCAATAACATTAAGAGCGTGTTCAGTAGAGATTAAAATCAGATTAAAATTGAAAAACTAGCCGTTATTGTTGACTTTTATTAAATGAATGGGACCCAATAACGGTCATATTTTCAATTTTAACTGAATTTTAATCGGAAACAAACAGACTTTAAATAAGATTTCTTAATCCATGTGAAAGACAAAATCAGCCATATAAATGGGACATAATTTTGGCTAAGTAACAAAAGGAGTTATGCTACAACACGAAAAGAGGATGGATGGAAGGTTAGTGCGCAGCGCGAAACAAAAAATTCAAACAAAAACATTAAGAACAAGAAATTTAGAATTCACCAAATTGTGAAAAAAATAAACTCACGAATTTTATCGATTGAAGATGATCAAAAACAACGAGTTATCTATTTATTTATAAGGGTTTATATGAAAATCCAATTTAAACAAACTAAAATTGAAAAGAATTCAAAATAGTCTCAATAACAAAAATAGTACTAAAACTTTGAATGAAGTATTATTCTCTCGTTGTTCTCTTTTCGAAATAGTATTAGGGTTCCGAACTGGGCTCGACTGCCACACCTGCACTATTACATTTTGTTACAAGTCATAATATAGAAGCGACACGTTGCACCATATTTCAGAGGTGGGACCAGTTTACTTAGGCCAG